AATTGTGTTTCTAGGACTCCAGTTTTCTTTTTTAATGTATTTACTTTATTTTATAGGCATTGGTGTTTTGCCAGCATGTGTGTCTATGTGAGAGTGTCAGATCTTGGACAGTGAGCTGCCATATGGGTGCTGAGATTTGAACCTGAGTACACTGAAAGAGCAGTCAGTGTCCTTAACCCCTAAGCCATTTCTCCAGCCCCAGGTTTTGGGTTTTTGTTGTGTTTGTTTGTTTGTTTGTTTGTTTGTTTGTTTCTAGTTTTTGGAAAAATGTCACTGGTATATGGGTATTTCATTGACTCTGTGGAATGCTTTAAATAGCATAGGCATTATACTCATTTTTACAATACTGTCTCCCAAATCCATCAATATTTGTATATATGTGTTCTCTCCAATTTCTCCCAATAACACTTTGTAAAGAAACCTGTTTTAGTGTATAAATGACATTTGCCTAGAATATAAACCCTCCATAAACATTACTTCAGCAAACATTCATCCTCCTCTCACATTCTCTCTGGATTCTTCAATTAAAGTTTTGTGCCCCCAGTGGCTCTCTGTAGCTCTCCACCTTGCTTCTTTTAAGATTGTCTCTCTTTTGACATCTTCATCTTCAATCTTGCTTATGCATTTAATAACGGCACAGTGAAAGATGTATCTTCTTGGATAATCACTAACTGAACTCCACTGTGATCCAAATTACTTGTACTTACAAACCACAGCCTTGCTTACGACTGCTTTTGAAGTTTGGTAATTGTCTATGTTCTGATTTCTCTGTACACTTAGACATCCCTCCCTAGTAAAAATAAGTTACTCCAGGTTAGGATGCATACTTCCCAAGTGTAGGACTTTGGCCAACTCTGCTCCCTTGCAGATGGCAGGCCCCCGAGACAATGCCAGACATACAGAGTAGTCAATAAATGCCCTCTGAATAAAAGGGCAGGACTAATTCTTTCTGTTCAGAAAACCCCTCCAATATTTCATGCGTAATGCCGAAAAAGTCTTTAAAATGAAGGTTTTAACTAAATGAAAGTAAATTGCTATTTTTTAATTTAAATACTGAAAAATTAATAGAACCACAATAGATGAATCAATTCAGCCTGGCTATAAACCAGTGTCTCTCAACCGGTGAGTTGCGACCGCGAGGGGGGTCAAATGACCATTTAACAGGGGTCTCCTAAGCCCATCACAAAGCACAGATATTGGGCTGGTAAGATGTCTCGGTGGTTGATAACAATGGCTACTCTTTCAGAGGTCCTGAGTTCAATTCCCAGCAACCACATGGTGGCTCACAACCATCTGTAAAGGTATCTGGTGTCCTCTTCTGAGATGTATGTGTACATGCAGACAAATAACTCCTATATTTAAAAAAAATACATAAACAACTTTTAAAAAGAAACACAGATATTTATATATTACAATTAATAAAAGTATCAAAATTACCCTTAAGTAGCAACAACAACAACAACAACAACAAAAAAAAATAGGTCCCCACAACCTAAGGAGCTGTGTTAAAGGGTTGTGGCATTAGAAAGGCTGAGAACCACTGCTATATTGCTTGTCTGTTGCATACTCATAATGATTCCCTATCATTTAATTAAGGACTGGATATATGTTACTAACTGTTAAAAAGAGATAAAGCACTTAACTGAAACTGAGAATCTGTAATCTAACTTCCTGTGACAGTCAATCACTTAACTTTATTTCCTTTCAGAACTTTAAGAATGTTAAAGGCCGACCAGATGGCTCAGCAGGTAAGGACACTTCCTGTGCAAAACTGATGACCTGAGTTCAGTCCCCTAAACCCACATAACTGCAGAAGGAAAAGAGCCAGCTCCACAAAGTAATCTCTGCCATCCATATGCTCCATGCATGCATGTCTGCTACAGCAAGCTGCACCCGACACAGACAACAATAAATTATGTAAGGCTAAAAATTAATCTTATCAAGTACCAATACCTGCTTTATTTTCATCTTAAGTTATACAAAAGCAAAGTGATGCTTTAAATACAGAAATTTCAGAATGTAGTTACCTTCAACACAGTGTGCTTTTCATCTTAAAGACACAACTGAATGGCAGAATATAGGATTACAATCTTTTTGAAAAATTATCAAAAGTTTCATATTTGAGTCAATAACTGTTTACTAAGGTGAATAAAGTCCACAGTTCAAATAGACAAGAGCCATTTGTAAAAGTCTCCCCAGAAGACAATCTGCTTTCTAAGTTATATGAGTAAGTCACAATGCTACTATAGCTAAGGTCGCCACAGCTGGGTATGAGCTCACATACTGTAAGGAGTAAATACTTCATTTTTCTATTATGTTAAACCACATATTTTTCTATACACATGAAAAGTAATAATTCAAAATATACAAAAACTTTTGCTGATTAATCTTAGAAGCTTTAGCAATAATACAATTGTTTAGCATTCAAATAGGATTACTGGTGATTAAAAGCTCTTGTCTATAGCAATCACCCTGAAGCAAATAATATGGGGGCAAAGATAATGGTTTTAGAGAGACTGTGGTCCAATACAAGCTTTCCTGCTTCCTACCTACCTGATCTCAGCCAAAACACTTACCTTCACTGAGTCTCCATGTATCTGAACTATGACCAATATTAATTTCTCATATACAGTGTTGCCATGGAACTTTAAAAACATGACGTAGCAGAGACTCCTAGTATCACAGACCATTGAGATGGAAGAGGATACCCTCTAGCTAGACTAGTCTCCAAGCAGAGGGAGGGGAACACTAACCCACCCACAAAAGCTTGGACCCAAATTTTACCCTGCCTGCAAGATGTGCAGGGATAAAGATAGAGCAGAGATGGAGGGAATGTCCAACCAATGCCTGGCCCAACCTGAGACCCACCCTATGCGAGAGTGCCAACCCCTGGCACTATGCACAATGCTCAACCTGCTGACAGGAGCCTATCAGAGTTATCCTCAAAACTTCAAAACAGATGCTGAGACTCACAGCCGAACATTGGGAGATGCATAGGGAGTCTTGTGGAAAATGGGAGGAAAGAGAAAATGACATGTACGTGACAGAAGCTCCACAAGAAGACCAACAGAGCCAAATAACCAGGGTCCAGAGGGGTCTGCTGAGACTGAAGCATCAACCAAGGACCATGCACAAACTGGACCTAGGCCCCCTACAAAGATGTAGCAGATGGGCAGCTTAGGCCTAGTGAAGGTCATCTAGTAAGGGAAACGGAGACTGTATGGGATAAGGACTCAATTGTCAGCTTTTTGATCACTTCTCTCTGGTGGGACTGCCTTGACAGGTCACAGAGAAAAAGGACATGCTCAGTCCTGATGTGACTTGATGAGCTGGGGTGGATGGGAAGGGAGGCTCCCCTTTTCTGAGGAATAGGGGATGGGGAGGAAGGGTGGGACTGGCAGGTGAGGTGGGATGGAGCTATAACTAAGATGTAAAGTGAATAAAAAACAAATTAATTAACTTTAAAAAAACATGACTTATCATTCCTCTGCTCAAAATGTCTTTCATACATTTAATTTGTAAGATAGTATGCAAGCCTCTTCAAACATTTCCATGATTAAATGACACATTCCATTTTCAGAGCTGCTAAAATGTAAAATAAATAAATAAATAATGTGTATCTTACTGGTTTTAAGAACAGATGGCCAGAGTGTTTATACACTTGGTCTAATGTTAATCTAGGTCATTCATATGTGTTAAGTCCCAGCAAGAAGGAAAGCATGCCTGGAAAACCAGCACATTAGTTATTGCACATTCAATAAAGTAAGGCCATATACCCCAGATGTACTGTCACACTCAAATGACTGCTTGTAAAGCCTGTACCCTTTCCATACAACAGGCATTAAAGGGCAAAAGTACATTAGCCCCTGTGAATAAGCACACAGTGATTAATAAAATCTGAAATTTCACTGCCATGCTTTCTGGGCAGATAAATTTTCTTTATCAGAACAGCACTACATCAGTTTATTGTAAATAGGAGGGGTTAAGTCTTCCTTCATCTACAAAATATGCTAGAATCATGTAGTGATTTGCCAATACACAATTAAATATTTAGGAATACAATGCCTTTTTTAAATGATGTGATAGTTGTTCCTAATGAGCGAATATACCAGCCAATCCAAATTATAATCATACAGGTATACAATTCCAATTACCCATCATTCACTTCCATTGCTAAATACTGAGGTTACTCAATTACAAATTAAATAACAAAGAATAATTCTAAGATAGAAACTTCTGCATTTCATCATTAAGCATTACCAGTAAAACAGAAATAAAAGCAACAAAACATTACATTTACCTGCAATCTAACTATGTCACAGTAAGGAAGGAAATGAAGGAAAAGACAGACTAGCCGGCTAGTAATTTTTGAGTGGAAATTTATTCCAGATGATAGAAATTTTTAAATAACAGGGACTTTTGAAACATCAAAACTTATAGACTACAACTAAACTAGCCTACTCAGTAAGACAAAACAAACATGTCTCTCCCTCTCATACTTTCTCTTGGCCAGTGACAAAAGACTAAATATTTTAAGTTGTAGCCTAGCAAATAAGTACCAATTCTTTGCAACATAAAAAGGAAGCAGACTTGTCAGAATGGCTAAGCAATCTAAGGCACTGCATTCAGACAGCAGTATCCCCCAAAGGCACAGGATCAAATGCCACTTCTGACAAAAAAAGGAAGCACAAATGGCAAAGGATTGTTTTCAGTGAAATGTTTGTGCACAAGTTATTATTAAAGAGATGTCACCTTCTCTCAAAAGTAAAAGCAATTAGAAACCTGAGGTTAAATGACTCAGCAATTCATTTTCAACCTAAGTCCTGGCTCCAAAAAGTATAAAGGATGAAAGATATGCACACCAAGTACAATCAATGTTATATTCATCAAGTATGTCTCTGTTACACAAAGCATCACAGAAAATATCCCCACAGTATATACTGTAGACACCACAAACCATGAGGTAACAAGTTATAACTGTATCAAGATTCTTATCTTACTTCTCCGTTTCTTAAGGTTGTGATGGTTCCTCTTGCAACACCCATTCTAAACAGTGTTTCTGTGGCCTGAGAACAAATTGAGAAAAAGTACAAATAAGTACAAAGTGTAATCAAGCTAAATACATGATGTGTACACAACTGAATACCTCACCCAGATCTAAAATGCCAACACTATAACATGCCCAGGACCTTTAAGAGAAACTTTAACATACAAAAAGAGCGACAAGTTCTAAATTATTCCCAGAACGCAGTTTTCAGGCTTCTCACTTTAAAAAGCTGATGTGAAATGTTCCTAAAAGCTATTGACATGGTGGGTCCTTCTGTGCCAGCAATTCATATATGTTCAACCAAATAAGTTTAACGTTAGCAAAAGTCAACATTTGTATTCAATTCAGAAGTTGATGGTTACTCTAAATGTTATTTTCCAATGAATTCATTCAAATATCTTGTCTGCTCTAAAATACGAGAGAAAGGGAGTAGTAATTTTAAAATGTCACAGATAATAACCCAGTCATTGATCTCTACAAGCTAGCAAAAATCATAAAAGAAAACAACTTCATTTACAAAGGCATTAAAAAGAATCAATGTCTTAGCAAAAGAATTTGATCATAGAGGTTTTTTAAAAAATTATCCAGTATAACAACAAATAGTGCTAAAAGAAAATTTAAGACACAAATAAATGCAAAACCACCTTCCGCTCCTGGGTTTAAAGACTTAGTATTGAAGTATTAATGCTATCCAAAGTGATCTAGAGATTCAATCCCTATAAAATGGCAATAATTTTATTTCATAGGAAAAGCTTAAAATTTTCTAACTAGCAGTGATAGGAGAAAAACTGTAGACTGTCTCAGTTGTAAATAACAGCTACAAAGTAAGCCTGAATAGGATCCGGTAAACATGAACTATCATTTTAAGCACAATTTGTGTTTTACCGTGATGTGAAAATCTTAGCAAATTCTCACCTTCTATAGCACAAATCCAATAGTAGTCACAACTGAATCAAGAGGAGCAAATAAGGGCATGATGGTGCCCATCTGTAATCCCAGCATTCAGAAGACTGGGGCAAGAGCCCCAAAAGGCCAAACAACAATGACAGCAATGTGAACATGTACACAGGGTAAGGAAGAGGTGCGACTCGCAACTTGTTGAAATCCCATGTGTGAGTCCTATAGGCATACATTTAAGGGCTTCTTAGCCTTTCAAAGAAGTGATCTGATAATCAGTGAGCAGTTTTCAAAACAATGACAACTACTCCAGGGAACTCCCTCGGTGTGTACGGGTACAAGGCTGTGGGATGCTATCCATGAACTCCTTCTATGTTTGACCAGGATGGTAAGGAGAGAGACTGAGTTAGAGCTAGAAAGTCAAAAAGGTCATAATATTTTTTATTTAACGTTTCATTTATTGTTTATTATTTTTAATATTTACTTATTATTTTATTATTTATTTCTATTGATTCTTTTATTATTTCTTTCTTTTATTTTATTTAACTTTTTATTGATTTTTTTTTGTGTAGTTCATATCAAACACCCCAATCCCATTCATGTCTCCATCCCCCTTCATATCCTGCCTTTTGTCCTTACAATCTCGCCAACAAAAGGAAAAAGAAAAAGAAAACTCTCATTGTAGAAGCTGTGTCCTACAGTACACCCTTTCGTCACACTTCTTTACACGAATGTTCACTTCAATGAGTCATTCCTGGTTCCAGGCCACTTGTTTCTGCTACTCTATCAGTCCTGGATCCTCACCAGGACTTCCCAGATATCCTGTTGTTGCCCTATGTCATAAAGATCCTACAGCTTTAAGTCTGAAGGACTGGCCCCTTCGTACACTCCAGCACTAAGAAAAATGGGCCCAGTGGGTATAGGAGAACTAGTGGCTTGACCAGCTCAGCTACCACCCGGGCCCAGATCCAGAGCTTTGAGGTGGTCATAGGATTTTTTAAGATACACATCTTGAGTTTGTAATGGTCAGGTAGGAGTGGGTGGCCAGAAAGAAAGGAGGAACAGAGGGAGTTTGGAGACCGAGTAAGAATGAACCTGCAGAGGATGGGGTTACAAGTATGCACAGCAATCTATAAATGTTACAAAGAAAACATGAACACAACTAAGCTCTCTCCCTCCTCCTTCCCCAGGACTCTCTGCCTTATCCAACCCAATTTGCTCACTTTCCTTTCTAAATTAAGACATAGAATAATCTTGTGAGAATGAAAAAAAAAAAAAAAATACAGACTTTAAGACAGGGTGACAGTATGTATATATGCAAAAGAAAAACAAGGAGATTATAGAGGTGGTCCAAGAAACAAAGCCCAGCAAAGGCTGGAAAACATGCATTTCTGTTGGATTAACTCTAGAGTTACAACAATGGAAAGGTAGACAGTTCAGAAGTTGTCAAGGCAAAAGCAAGTCTATATTTAGGGCTTATGGGAAAATGGGCAGGACCCTGAATTGGACCTAACTGGTAAAGTATAGCATGTGATCTGTAAATAAGAATATTTTTTTCTGAAATTGTTTAAAGATAAGCAATAATCCTTAGAGTTCCTATGTACAAGCCAACACACATGGAGCTGAGAAACAAAGGAGCTGAAGTACAAACATAAACACAGAAAAATTTAAAGACTAAAATACTTCAGGATGGTCTGCTAGGTTTTGAAAATGCAGCACAATCTCAATATAATTTGGTAAGAGATTAAAAATACACCATTGTTGAGGAAGGATAAATTACACATCAATGGGTTCACTGATAGCTTTTACTGAAGCACATAAAACTAGCTGAAAGATCTACTGGTAAACTGTCACCAATGACGCATTCGCTTTTAGTCTACTCTCAGTGATGGGCATGCCATGGTGTACCATCCATCTTCCAGTTTCCATTAAATCCAGACAACTCAGTAAGGCGCCTGCATAGAGGAAGCATGGAAAGAGGGATGGAGCACGCAATCCTGAGATAAACTAACAATGGTTTCTCAAAACCAGATCAAATTACTTTTATGTCTTAGTCCACAGATAAAAGGAGAGACTATTTGAAGACAACATTCTTTTTTATTTACCTTGTCTTTGGTATCCAAATGAACTGCTTTATCACCTCCTTCCGCCAATGGTTTCAGGACGTCTCAATCTAAGGACTTTCTGTCCGTTAGGCTAAGCTGCCTGGTTCCTATTGAGAAGCACTGGAGTGTGCAAGTTTCTTCTGACCTCCACTACAGGGTTTTAATTTACTTGTACCTAAGCGAGTGCTAACAAGTGTGGGAGGGGAAAAGGTTAGAACAGAAGACTGTCAGTACTTGTAACTATCTCACAACATAAAAACCATAAAAACGACCTACTCCTAGAGTTTTCATTCATTTCATAAGATGATTAATACCAAACATTCATTTGACACTTCCTATGTGAGTATGTGTGGGTGGAAAGACACAAATTCTTGTTTAAAAACATTATCAAGAAATATTGCTTTTTAAGAACAATGTTAAATGAGAAACCCAGTCTCATAAATCCTAGCTGGAATAAATCCTAAGTTCAAGACTGTGACTGTTTGTGTCTTTTTGTACATGTGGGTACATCAAAAGCATGTATAGACATGCATAATGAAGACCCAGCAGTGGTAATCTCTGGGAATTTTCTTTATCCTTCCTTTTCTAATGTTTCTCCCTGACTATAGTGTGGTCTCTACCCAGGGGGTGGGATATGTCCTAAGACTCCAGAGGACAGCTGGACATGCCATATATACATACACACATATGTACATGTACACACAAAACACTTTCGCATATTTTTGTGTAAATGTATAATTTCTAAATAACGCACAATAAGAGATGAACACAAATAACTGAACAATAATTTTCACATATTTTTAAACCCTGGATTATTAAAAACTGTTTAATGTTTTGTACCGTTAATAGTTAAATTTAACCATTGTTATCATATGTAAATTATTACAAATAATTCCAGCAGTAATTCTGGATGAGTAACTGACCACAAAGAAGAGCCATGAGCTACTTTGGAAGGGGCAAGTTACCATGAGCCTTTGGCTGTTTTTCCAATTGTTTCTAATACTTGAGCTTTTGTGCTATTCTCTGAAGGTGGAATGATTTGAAGAACTCTCTACCCCACCATTATTAGATGTTCTTAATACGTCTCCCAAAACTACAAAAGTAGTAGATGTGAGACAGAGAAAAGGGGTACACCTGTCCCTGTGCTGGGGTGCCTGGCAGATATTAAACAGGTAAAGTACTGCTGAAATCAAAGTAAGTACTAAGTTCTTTAAATTCTTATTCTGATAATTCTTGTTCCTTTTCTTGCAACTATGCAAAGATGTTGTGAGATGGGACAAGCTGATTTCTTAACTGTCAACTGTTAAGACTCTCCATTGCTACCCTAGATGCCTCTGAGCAAAAGATGTGTCAGTCAAATGTCTAGCTGGACTTTCAAATGTCAGACCCACCCAAGCTACTTTAGCATTCGATTCACAGCTCAAGAAAAATGATTTATGCATTGAGAGCAGCTGATTAAGTAGCTGAAAACTCAGGCTACTTAATATACAGGGCTTTTTGTTGTCAATTCTAGTGACTTTGGAGACAGCTGAAGGTGTAGGTAAATAAAGAAAAAAAAACAAACTGGGGAAGGAACAAGGGAAATGCTAGAAATAGACAAAAAGTTCAACTCTTAGTTAAAAAAAATCCATAGAAAATAAAAACTACAGGACTTAGTCACTGAAGTAGTTCCAGAGATTTAGGAGCCCTTTAGGGCCAAGCGTCACAGACATTTCCCACCCAGATGCTTCAATATTGGCCCCTATCAAGGATGAAGAAATCTGAGGTCTGCTACAAGATACAACAGGAGCCTTTAACAAGGGCTGAGGAATCTCAAATTCTGAGTGCCACACAAGAGACTTAAACCAGAGAACAGCAGCTGCTGCTCCTGCCTGCCGACATGGTATGTACAAAGGATGGTGATGTTAAAGGTGATTACATTGGTGGTGGTGGTGAGAGTTATGATGATGATGAAAGAGGAGGAAGAACAGAAAATGGATTACACTTTGAGCACCCCTTATCCAAAATGCTGAGAACC